CGGCCAGCTGGCAGGTTTGATAAATACTTTGTAATAAATGCATGAATAAAGCACAGTCATACTCAGTTTTGCCCCCGATGTATTTTTAAATACGCAGTAGAGGTATTTAAAGGTAGTAGAGGACATGTACCTGTATATAAAAAACGCGCCCTATAGTCCGGTGCGCCTTATGTGTGTGTTAAATACAGAAATGGCACACATAACTGAGAGTGCGCCTTTTAGTACGGTGCGCCTTATGGTCGTGAAAATACGGGTAACCCTAACCCTAACATACAAAACAGCAAGCAACCTAGTGAGAGACATCATGAAGTAATTATTGCACCGTGGAAAGCTCGTCCGTCCCAGTTTTACGTCCGTCCGCTGATCTGCTTTTTTCATCTGGCTCACGAAATACTGTGCATAACTTTTCCTACGATTTCATACGAACTAATAATGAGAATATGTTGAATGACTATGACCTGGATGACTAAGAATCTTCACCAGCATACAACAAAAACCTAACAAAATGGAACAAACTTAACCTTCGCTCACCTCTTCTAAAATATGTGAGAGTCCAATTAAGTCTCATTGCCGCTGAGATTCTTTGCAGCTGGGACTCTTGGTTCAATGGCCCAGCCAAGCCCACTGGCAGCCTCCAAGGAACTGGCAACTCAAAAGTATTAGTTTAAGGTAAAATGTGGTAAAATGAGTCGACCGAATGAGTGCACCCAAATCGTAAATCAATGCCAAATCATAAGTAAATAGGAATAAAAAACAATATGGTAAACAAATATAAAGCACTACATTCAAATAAAAATAATTACTAGACCCTTTATTGTGAGGCAGCACATGACTTAGACTGAGACTTAGACAAAAACTTATGATCATTTTGTATACAAAACAAAATTTCAATGCATACACTTTCCAACAGTGAATGAGCAGCTTACAGCAGTGAAATTAACATTTACATTTATAAAGTGCACCAGTGACCAGAAGGATATGGTGGAAATGCAGTACAGAACATTGAAAATTCACCATGTAGTGCAAAAGGGATGTTTTGTTCGATCTGTGATTGAATGCTGTGAAGCCTCCCCCATGTTCTAATTTGATTGCGATGTATAGATTATGGAATAAAAGATCTGAAAGGTGCTACCGTGACTAGATCGGCGGGAAAAAGATAGGGATCATAGGATTCAGCTTCAATTTTAGGTTAAAAAAAAGCATACTTGACTTTTATACTGGTTTTTGTAAACATTAATAAACTTTGTGTTTCATCGCAGCTATCTGCATACTGCCCTGTCTGAACGGAGGGCGCTGTGTGGCACCGTACCAGTGCCAGTGTCCTGCTGGGTGGACAGGCACCCGATGTCACACTGGTGAGTTTCCAAAAAGACGTTTGTTTTTTCATTATTTTATCTCTCAGATTATCAGCCCTTATTTCTGAGTCTTCTTTGTTTCATAACCTAGAGTAGTGTTGAGCAGAAACGAAATCCTTTTTGTTTTCAGCAAAACCTGTTTCTATTTCATCAGAGGTTAATTTCTTTGTCAAATTCATAAAACAGAAACTGTTTCACAAGAAAAGAAAAAATTTCAGCAACGGTTCTAATGCCTGCAGTGCTGTTTGTTCCTCTGTTTCTCTCAGCCGTTTGTTCTTCGCCGTGTCTGAACGGAGGAAGATGCATTCGGCCCAACAGGTGTAGCTGCATTCCTGGTTGGAGTGGGCATAACTGCTCAAGGTGAAGATTTTTTGTGGTGTTTTCTGACACCAAACAATTTAGCTTGTTGTCACGACACTGTTGTTGCCTTTAACATACTGCAAGTGCTATCATGAATTGATCATTTCTCATGTCTCCTTCCTTCTTTCCTTGCAGAACACAAATTTAAATCCTATACATGCACTGTATAAATGTTTGCTTTAAATTGCCGTACTTTACATTTAGATACAAATACAAGGGATTGGAAATTGTCCTAAATGTTTAAAGAACCTAAGTTTTAACATCCCCTTACACTTTTCCTGGTATTTTATTTGTCTTAGATGTTACAGACCAGCTGTGCATAGTTTAAAATTGTATAGTGTATTTATATCCAGCGGACTTCACCCTTCACCAGTGTTTTGGGGTCTGTCAACAGTAGATATACATCAGCCAATACGTGCAGACATCTGCTGATTCATTAGTACATCTTGCAGCAATGCCTCGTGATCACGTGAAGTGCATGCACTGCCACTCCTTTCATTTGCAATTCACTGTCATGGTTTTATTTGATTTGTGTACAAATCTTTGTTAATTACTAGTCTATTACTAGTCAGCACCTTCATGGCACTTCTAGGGATAAATATTTATGATATATTGATTATTTTCTGTTGTTAGAAAACTGAGAAGTTTGGGGGCAATTATAACCTTTATTAATGCACTTGATACATTGCTTATCTGTCTCTCTTCCAAATTCCTCACTGAAGGCTTGGATAATAAATCTAAACCAGACATAGACATGAAATGACTATAAGTGCTCTGCATTAATGCCTGTCATTTGTCTTTGCAGGAAGAGGAAGTCAGTATACTACCACTTCTAAAGCCTTCGCCCTCCTCTGCGTGGAAAATCCTATGAAGGGAATTATTGTATAAATGACACTAGTAAACCATTCACTCATCTCTGCACAGGCAAAGCAAGAACCATTCTGTAAATTAAAGCTGTATTTTTTTCATATACAGACAACAGTATTAAATATATGCTGCTATATACTTGTATGATGTGTAAAAACTATTTGATGTCCTGTTCCAGTGTATATGTGTAAACTATTCACCTTTTTATTAAAGCATAAAATGTCACCAAAAAAAGATCTTTTTTTATGCAGTCAGAACTTCTTAAGCTGTGTTGTGTGGAAAGTAAACATTTATATTAACTGCTCACATACACACCTTGTTTTCCTAACTGACTGAAAAAGTCCTGTTTAGCCTTGTCATGGCAGAGGAAGATGCATCCAGCCCAACAGGTTTAGCTGCATTGCTGGTTGACGTGGGCATAACTGCTCCAGGTGAAGTTGTTGAGCTGTTAGGATACAAAGAACATAGACTTTAATTGAATTTCATACAGAAAATACTTTTCTAAGAGTTGATCATTTCTCACCTTCCTTCTTTCCTCGCAGAACATACATTTACAGCCTATACATGCACTGAATAAATATTTGCTTTGAATTGTCATACTTTACATTTAGAAAAAAAACAGATCTTTGTTTATGTAGTCAGAACTTGTGTTGTGAAAGGCTCCTGAGCATAAGAAGCATTTTACTGTGGAAAGTAGAAATTTATACAAACGGCTCACATAGACACCTTTTTTTCCTTACTGTCTGACTGAAAAACTCCTGTTTAGCCTTTGATGACACAATGTTCAAAATTTGTATTTTCTACACAGGTGGACAGAATTGTTGGTTTTGCTTTAATGAAAGAAGAACCTGCAATGGTCACAGAAACAACTTTAATCTGACCAAAGTAATTGAGAAAAAAATGACAAAATGAAAGTCAAACATTTCTTTTCAACCATGCTTCAACAAAATGACTTTAAAAAAGAAACTAATGAAAAAGGCCTAGACAAAAATGATAGAACCCGTACAAAACACTGAAAAATACCGGTCAAAGGATGTGGGAAATTGTGCATTTTTTGTAAATTCTGCCGATGGATAGCACCACCACCCCTGCAAGGTAGTGTTGTCGGAAAATTTTTATCTCTCTTCTATTATATAATAATTTATCCTATTTACTCACTATAAAAGTTTTCACTCGGTCTGTTTCTCTCTCAAGGCCACACAATTCTCTGCAGGATGGTGTTTGTAGACCAGACATAGCTTCTTCCCATAACAA